ATGACTTTGATGGGGCTGACAACCTTTTCAAAGTCAATGCTACTGTTCTCCCAAACAAATACCCTTCATCTGTGTCCTCTGAACTAGAAGTAGTGGCTGACACATTTTTTAACGGACGGAGTATTTCTACTTTAACAGTATCTCTTGTCTTCCATTTTTAGCAAGATATTTAGGTGTCCTTTCTCATAGTGTAGACCTCAAACAACTAACAATAAAAACATTACTTATAATTATGTTGCAAATACTATTACTTTTCATCAGTATCCATATCATCATCAGCTTTAAGAGAGCCAATACTGCCTACTTGTGGTGGACTAGATAACGTGGAGGATTCTTCCACTGTTGACAAATCAGACATATCAACCATATTCCCAACAGTACTAATTATAATACAATCATGACAATTATTTTATAATGACATTACTTTCAGTTTGATGAAATCTTTTAAAAAACCCATCAATTGCAAATACTCCCATTCTTTGATAACCTCATCAGCCCCCGTGCCAGTGAGAATCTTTCTCTTCTTAAGCTCCTTAGTGTACCTCTCTCGCAAGGTCTTCCACCGTCTCTGAACCACATCCACATCAAAAATAGAGTGATTGGACAGTTGATTATTTTTCATTATTATTATTATTATTTATTACTATCATTTAACTTTACACAGTGCACGGAGTGATAAAAAATAATGAAAATAAAGAGAATAGAAGCACAAAGGAAACTCTGATGCCAATACTTCTAGTAGTTTAGAGGACACAGATGGATAGAATTCGTTTGGGAGGACAGTAGATTAGAACACACTTAATTGTCCTTACCAGAAGAGGTAAGTGATCGGCTATGGCCTTCCAGGCATTTTCCTTCTTTGTCCTTATTCTAAAATCCATACACTTCGTATTGTAGAGACAAGGATACTGCTCAACACTGCTGATAAGCTTCTCATCAAGTTCCGCCATTTTTAGAGCACTAATACACGTGCCTCTGACAATATGATTGGTCAATTCTTACGAATCTGTAAGCAAAATAGACAATGTCTTCATTATTGCATTACGTTAATTCTGTGTTTATGGTGCATTAACTAATTAGTGTGAATGCTAAATATTGTCTTATGTTCCGTTCCGTCCGTTAATTGCTCAAGTGTGAATCAGCCTTAAGCAATATTATGTCTAAAATACATGCATGCACATACATGTATGATCCAATCAGAAACATTGTAAATGCTACCATTATCATTATTAATTAGTATTCACATTTATACTTCTTACAGGCACTTGCGTGGCACAAGGACTACATTGCGGTATTATATATTGAGGTTTGATGTGATTGGTAATAAAGTTTGTTCACCATTACTGTTTGTACTATTGTTATTTATAACCTGTGAGTTTATATTGCTTGCTTTTGATATGTTTCTATTACCATGCTTTGCAGTTAATTACAGCTGGAAATGATTTGCTGATTCAGCAATACTTTTGCTTGATATTGGAATTTGCAATATAATTTAAGGCGATTCTGTATGTAGATTGTAATAACTAAATTAATTTATTCATTTAATGTTTTGTTGCAGCTTTTTGATTAGTAGTTGTATCACGTGGTAGGAGGTGCCAGTTTACATCTGTATAGGTTTCATATTATTGTAGTCTTAGCAATGGAATATGTAGTACGATCGAGAGTATTGTGAGATGTCTTATGTATTTTGTTATAGGTTATGATTTTAGCTTAGGCTACATATTGTACATTCCTTTGATAATTATATCATTAATAATGGCCACATTTAGTACTTTCTTTACTCATTATTAATAAATCCTTGCCAATGCATCTTTTATTTTGTACATGCATATTATCATTAGCAATACAAAAATAATTGTTTACAGATTAGAATGTATTTATGTGTTTAATTAATGTGTATTTCCACAATGAAGGTCTCGTAAAAGAAACTTGATTGAAACTTAATTGAAACTTAACTGAATGATATATATCTAAATTACATGTACAGTGTACATACATGTATGATTCAATAAGAGCTTGATATGCATTGTGGCACTATACATGTCATATATGTATATTAATTTTTGCTAAAAGCCTGTATGCTGTTAATTTGTTACTTAATATATAATTTTACATTCATAATTTACACAGGTACATATTTTACTCAAGGACTGCAATGTTGTGTTAAAGAATAAGGTCAAATTTGGAAATAGATTTAAAAGGTGAACGGTTATTCCTCTTCGTGAGCAAATGTATCTTTTAGTGGTTTGTAATGTAAGTTTGTGACAAACATAAGTTATATCATGCATATACAAGTACATATTTAGTTAGCATATATAGCCTGTGTGTTTACATTGCTTGCTGTTGATGACGATTCTTACTTTGCTTTAAGGTATTTATGGCTGCAAATGATGTAATGATTTAGCAATAAGGTGTATTGTAATACTTTCATAGCATGGTGAATGTCTAAGGCTATTCTCTGATTTCTTTTGTGGTAACTAAATTAATTTCTAATAATAATCATCATTGTAAAGTTATATTTCATTGTAGCTCCTTCATTAGTGGTGCTTTGACACTGGATGAGGTGCCAGTTTCCAGCTGCTCATATTGTCTTAGTCTTAGCAATTGAATACATAGTAAGACAGAGTTTTGGTGAAATTCCATAGTTTTCATTATGTTTTAGATTATGATCTAAGGCTATAATTCTGATGATTATCTTATTACTTATGGCCACTGTAAGTATTTTCCTTACTCATTATTATAAGTTATGTATATTACATTGTAGGAAGACTGAAGCTCAAGCATTCGAACTGTTTTGCCTTGTTGAACAGTATTTCAGCATTTCTATTGTAATTTCTATTTTGGCTTTACACTGAAACATATTTGACTTTTTATCGTTTTAAGGAAAAAAGTCATCTATTTAATAAAAGTTATAGTTCTTAGTATAATTCCTCTTGCCCCTGCCGCCTCTTGAAGGTCTGGCTCTTGGAAGATTGTTGTACTAAAGCATAATAATTAAAATTGTACTGCAGATTATTTCTAAATCTTACAAATTGATGTTTTACTGGGCGTAGATGATATTTTTGCCTCTGCTGCTGCAGAGCTACCATTCCAGGTCGAGCTGGAGAAGTGCAGAAGGTGGCAGGCGTCCAGCTAAAGGGATTGCTGGAGGTGGTGGGCCTCAAGCAACTGGTAGTGCTGGAGGTGGCGGGCCTCCAGCTACTGGTGGTAGAGCTGCAGGTGGCAGGCCTCCAGCTACTGGTGCTAGTGCTGGTGGTGGTGGTGGAGGTGGTGGGCCTTCAGCAACTGGTGGTGGTGGCAGGCCTCCAAGAGGTGGTGGTGAGGCCCTCCATCTCCAGCTACTGGTCATGGCAGAGGAGAACACCATCATGCCATCATATTCCATAAACTACCAACAAATAAGAAAATAATAATATTAAAAGTAAGTTTGTGTAACTGAACTGACTTACTGCTTTTTAAAAAAAAAGTTGGTGAAAAACTTAGTTGAAAGTTGAGAGCTGTTTGCGGACTGCGGTAATTGCTGCCGGAAAATTAAAATGGAAACTGAAGCTGATTGTAAACTTGAGTAGTTAAAGAACAGGAAATAGATTATTTTATTAATGCATTGCATGGTAACATAATGCTTAATACCGGTAATTATGAGCTAGGCTGTGAGTATAATTAATGATTAAAAAATAAAAAAATACTATAAAAACTGCTTTTATAATGCAGTAGGTTTTCTTATGTTTCTTATTGCAAAATTCTTTTCTTCCAGTTATGAACTGATACCTGAGAACAAAATAATTATCAATAAAAAGGATTTAAAAAGTATGGAAACAAGTAAATGAAAAATTTCCATTAAATAAGAAAATGAAGGGTTGTCAAGAAGTAGAAGAACCAAGGTGTTGAAAGATAGCCTTGTCAAAATGACAGTGAAATCTGAGGCTGTACTTTTACGTTCACCACAAAACGAGGAGAAAGCATTTTGCAACCAGCACCTCCAGCATGTATTACTGATTTAGTTGGTGCCATTTTT